AAGCCGGTGCCTGCAATTAGTATTCACTGTGACAATCAGTCTGCTATTGCAAGGGCACAAAATTGCATGTATAATGGTAAGTCTAGACATATACGTCGTAGACACAATACCATAAAGCAGTTGATCTCAAATGGTATTATCTCCATTGATTATGTAAAATCAAAGAAGGTCTACCAAGAGATCAAGTATATTATCTATCAAAGGGAATGGGATTAAAGCCAAACACGCATGAATCTTAATGATGGTAACCCAACCTTGTTGACTGGAGATCCCAAGATCTTGGTTCAATGGGACAACTAAGTTATTAAGACTCAGTTAAGCACTTAACCATCCCTTTATAAAAAGTGCTGTCTGCAGAAAGTAAAAGGATAAGTTGTAACTTTTAATGATTCCTATAGCTTGGATAAACCAAGTGGGGTATAGCAGAATACTCTTAATAGGAGATCACCTATATAAGTGTGAAGTGGGGCCGCTTCTATGAGAATTTGGGGCTTGAAATTCTCTAAAGCACTTATGAATCCCAAGAATCGTTCAGGGCCAAAATGAACACAACTATGAGAACCTAAGAATTGTATAGAAAGGTTATTGTGTGGATACTGTTGCCTTGGTTTACACCAACGGCTGAACAGTTCAAGATATCAGTTCACTGATTAGCCAAGTAAACTCGATAGTATTCCATTAAGGCAGGTTCAAGGCCAAAAGCTACCTCTCCTGATGCAATAATTCTTTCGCCTGTACTCTCTGTTCGTGTTTGCATTGCATAGTCATGATAATTTCCATTCATGTGGGGGATTGTTGAAAATGGTTGGTCTATTGTGTCAACTTTGACCACAATTTTAAGTGGGACCCGATGTTCGATGTATCAAGATTAATGTTCAATTAAATTCTACGTTCCGAGTAGATGAGTGTAGAATATTTAATTGTGAAAAACCATTTCAATATGAATGAGAAATTATGGCTGAAAGTTGGATAATAAATAAGAGGAAAAATGTTCCAATCCCACATAGGTTGCAAACACAACCTTGAACCACTTAATAAGCTTCAAGTTTGGAAATGGGTTTGGGCCCCAAGAGGTACCAATAGTCTTTGAAAGGGGGGAGTCTTAGACAATGTCTAGACTAGTCCAAAGGCCACACGCGCGCGCACCGCCGCCGCCGTCCGTCCGACCGGCCAACCGGGTTCGGGTTCGGGTTCGGGTTCGGGCCTGGCCTGGGTTAAAATTAATTCAATTTTTTTTATTTATTTTCGGTTTAAAAAAAAATTGAATTTAATTTTTTCCCTCCCTTTGACAGTTTACTAACCGACCCATCAGTTCGAAGAAACTGTGCATTAAGTGGCGTGAGGGAAACTGCCCAAAACCGTCAACTTTCTTCCTCTATTAGAATAGTCCTCATACAACACAAAGAATACACACGAAAAATTTCCTGCATACGTATATCATACATCTCTTCTTCCTTGCATCAGTCTGCAGAGAGTATTTTCATTCGTTCTGGTTCGTTGTCTTGCAGTCGAAGTGCTGCTTCTGCAAGTGTGATCGTTGTATCTTGGGAGACGCTTTACCACATACCGTAAGTACCGTGTGACGGGGTAAAAAGGTCTTAAGGACAGAGAGCCTAGTTCTCGCCTCGATCATCCTTTTTCCGAATTCTGGACTTCTTTCTTTTCATAATTTTTCGAACATAATATTCTACTTTACTGTTTCTACAAGTCATTTTCTGCTTTACTGTTTCTGCAAATCATTTTCTGCTTTACTGTTTATGCAAATCATTCATGGAAAATCTATTTCATACAAACTTTTAAAATTTTAACCAACATCTGTTTCGCCCTTTTTTCCCTTTTAGCAGCAATCTACTTCACATCCATTTTCCCCTTTTGGCAAAATCTATTTCACATCAATTTATCCCTCTTATGCTAAGTCAAAGTGGAGAATCTACACATCCGTAGATAAAGGTAAAATTTTTTTAGTTCAATTTGTTTAATGGGTAATATGAACTATGAAAATGATGATTTGTGGGGTTGAATTATTGAAGGGGTTCTGCCTCTAGAATAAATTCATCTACAGATAAAGGATTATTTTTCAGTTTTGTCATATTCAGTGGTGGTGGCGATTAGTTCGTCGTTGGAGGTTTGATGTGGTGGTGGTGGTGATTAGTAGGTCGTTGGAGGTTTGATCTGGTGGTGTTCGTGGGGCTATGGCTGATCTATCGACATTGGGAAGATATTTTTCTTATTTGATTATGAGGATAGGTGAGAAGGTTCATTTTATTTTTCCTTCTCTCTCTCTCCCTTTAATTATATATTTTAATAATTTATAATAGGGAAATCAAAGTACCATTTTGCCCCTTTAAAAACTGTGAAAATGTGGTCAAAATTGTATTTTCAGTCAACTAATGAAATTTTGGATAAAAATCGTTCAAAAGAGCCTTACATGCAACAGTTTGAAAGGTTAGGGTGATGGTTACAATAATTGAATGGTTTGGAAAAAGTTTGCTAGTGGTTCAAAGATTTGGAGCTTTTGCTGCAATTATCCCTTTTAAAAATGACATGTTAAAAAAAATTAAGAACTAACTTGTTAAATCCTGAATAAGATTTAGGACTGAAGTGCAATTTTCTAATTACATAATGTTCTTGCAAACGTGTCACATACGCATTTTCTCTTGTCGTANAATAAGATTTAGGACTGAAGTGCAATTTTCTAATTACATAATGTTCTTGCAAACGTGTCACATACGCATTTTCTCTTGTCGTAAATCAGAAGCTTCGTTTCACTCTCAAAGGGCCCTCACGACAATACGCGTAGACTCACGCGCAAAAAGAGGAAAATCTACTAAGAAATGAAATCATTGACTCTAATTTATCGGATTCAGCTCAGTCACCATTCAACTTACTTCTCAAGGTAAAAAGGATTGAATAAAAATTTATGATTATCTTTATTTTTATTATTTTGTTTTTTTCCCCCGATTTCAAAGTATTTTCATCTTTTCTCAAACGATTGCAAGTGGGCTTTAATTTGTGGATTTAGAAATTGCTCTATCTGGTCTTTAATCTTGTTCTGATCTTTTTATGCAGAGTAACTACAGTTTCTGCAAAAGCTAAAAGAGCTAAAAATGTCAAGTTCTGTGAACGAAGATCAAGAACAGAGGTAATGATACAAGCCCCGTTTGGCTCCCATTCTTTCCAAATTTTAATGTTCCATTTTAATGGTTGGAACAGTGTTTTTTTCTGACAAATGCGTGATTGAAAAGCAATGATTTTTTTTTATTTGCGGGTGATATTATTTGATGGAAGATTGCATGGTTGAAAATAAGAGAGAGCAAAGGAATGAGAAGAAGAATGGGGCCAAATGGATATATTTTTGATAACCTCTTTTAATAGTTTTGAAATTTAGTTTTTGGAGTTTTTCCTTCGTTGGTTATGGTCTGTGAGTGTTTTTAAGTTATCAGTTATGCTTGCAGATGTAAAGATCTTTTTTTGTGCCTTTCCTCCTATAGTTTCACTTAACGGAATTGAAAATTTATTTTCGGAGTTATCCTTTACAAGTTTTGATCTATGAGCACTTTTAATTATATTCTTTGCAATAAGGAAGAAAAAACTAATTATTGTTTTCACTCTGATGTCTAGAGGAACTTAGATGTAACCCGTGGATCAAAGTTTTTGAGTTACATGTTCTTTTTAAAAAATTGAAAACTCGGAATTGTTTGAACTTGTGTATAATTGAACTTAGAACTTTTACGGTTTCATGGTAGAAAAAGCCTTCTTGCTGGATGTTATGTTTTGTTTGATGATTATGTACTTAAAATTTTGGGAATTTTATTATACTCTTCTTGCAGTTGTCATAATAAATTTTCTGAATGTAATTGCAATTCATAACCCAGATTTAGTAGTTCTTCTGTAGAAATTTGATTGTGCTAAATCTTGTGTAAAGAGATGCACCTCATAACACAATGGAAAAAAGATAAGTTATTGACATCGCTGTTTCTAGATGTCTACTATAGAAGAAAAATCCTTGCCAAGTTTACTGTTCCAAATTGTTAGTATATTTTGTATTTAAAAAGCAGACTATTATGTAATCTGCTAGAGGCTTAGTGTTTCCATTTAACTTTGCAATGTCCTCGTTGAATATAAATTGTAACTATAATTTGTTGAGGTACCTTAATATAAGCTAAAAGAGAATTATTGGCAGTTAAAAGGTAAAATTATCAGTTAATTGAATAATTGAATTGAAAATCTGCACCATTGAGCTTAGTTGCCATAAGATATGACATTTACACAACATGTTTTGCTAATCTTAAATGCATAGAAAATGTAAAATAAGTAACTTTTAGAAAACCTTAAGCATGTTTGGCCAAAAAAGTTACTTTAAAAGCAAACAACAAGCTGTATGGTAAGTAAGAAACCCACTTTTCCTTATGCCCAGGGAAGGTTTTATAAATGCTCACTGTTCTTTTATCCATTTCATCTCCATTGGTCTCTGTTCTGTTTTTTTGAACCCTCCATTCCCCTCGTTTGTTCTATGCAATTAACTTAAATATGGGACTATTGTTAGCCAGTTTTAACTTCATTAATTATTACATCTAATCGCAGTCAGCATTCAGAAACTTGCAAAACAACGATACATCGGCATATAAGCTGCACTTGGAGTACTGCACTCATTGTCTTTCTTTCTGTCGATAGAAGTTCAACAGTCATTGAAAACTGTCTGAGTGCTCTAAAAGCAGTTACCGAACTAGCTGCATCTTGTTGGGTAATAAAGTGTTACTTGAAGCACATAAAGATGAACACAAATGTGCACACTCATGTTCTCGCGGTCTTGCGATGTAAAACAACACAGTTGCAGTCTACTTTTTTCATTTGTAATTAAAACTTTATATCACAAAATCTTCACGGAAATAGTAAACAAAATACTTTGTTTGTTGTTGCTTGCTGGACATGTTTTCTGTTGTTCAGAAGAAAGCATGTGAATTATTTCTAGGTTGCTTCTTTGTTATTTGCTCCTCTTATACTGTATGTAGGTTGATGATTCTTTCCTGGTTAATATCCCTTCTTGCTAGTATTTTTTGTGGACCTTCTGTTTCCTTTTATTATATTTTTCAACAAATGGAAAGAACTGCAATTGGGATCTATGATTTCAGAGAGAGTGGCTGTGATGTGAGAGTTAGGTTTGAGCTGATATATGCAAATGAAATCATTGAGAGTTTTCTGCTTAAGGAGGAAGTAGGAATGTTGCCACGTCAATTCTACACTTGCTATACTCGCCACGCATGAATTTGTGGGTAGTTGTGTGTCAGTGAATCACTGGGGGAGTTTAACACTAAAAGTTCCCATTTCATGTTTCAGTGTAGCTTGTACTTGTCACATATACTAATCAGTTGAATGACTTTCCAGTCCACCAACTGCGAGTTAGTAGATTAGGTGCCTTTTCTAGCTTAAAAAATCTTGTTAGCATGGCATTGATCTACAGTCTACAACGTTTGCACCTATTTGAATTCATCTTATGGTGTCAATTTTATTTTCTAGAAGGGAAACTACAGAGAATGAAATTACTTAGTAATTGATAAGACCACGCTCATTGCTTTTCAGGACTCCATTCATTCTGAGATTAGGTTCTTGACATGGGGTTCAATAATTTTTATAATGAGAGAAAAAGTTTGCGATTCATTTTAAGTTTATTCTGTGTACGATAGAATCTTTTTTTCCACATTGTTGATGATTGAATTAAAATAAATAAATGTCCTTTCTTTAATGGCTTAAGCTTTTAGATGAGGTGATTAAGGTGGTATTCGAGTCCCGCGAAAGACCCGAGTTCAAGTCTCATTGCCATTTGTTTATAAAAATTGTACATGTGCAAGGCTTTATGAATTCGGCCTGCAAGTAAAGCTGTTGTGTTCATATCTTTATTTAAATAAATAACTTGTCCCATCTCTAAGAGTTTAAGCTCTTATATGAGATGTTTAACTTACATATTGTTTCTGGGCAACAGTATAGCAATTTTCAGTGTTAAAACTTCTTTACTTGAGAGTATTAAAGAAGAAATACAGGCTTCAAATCATGTAAACCTTGGTGTTTGTATTACACATTATAATTATAGTTTCACCACATTGGAATTTCTTTGCATTTCATCCATCCAGAGCAAGAGAAATAGAATCGGCATCCCTTGTAGTATGACTTTATTACCTTTCTATTCACTGAAAAAGGGACATATTACATATATAATATGTTCGTCGTCCTTCTGCTGGTTGATGTTATTTTCATAGTTATTCTGATACTGAAGCAATACTATATCAGAAAAAATACTAGCATGGAAGACCCAAAGTCAATGACAATTGAGTTTCTTCGGGCAAGATTGTTATCTGAGAGATCTGTCTCAAAATCAGCAAGACAGAGAGCTGATGAACTGGCCAAGAGGGTGAGTTACAATATTTGATCTACTCCTCTCCGTCTCACATTGTTTATCATGTAATATGTATTGACTTTTTTGGCCCGTTGGACCATGGTTTCAATTAAAATTGGACTTAATTTAACTTAGATTCGGAAGTAACGTTGGAATCTGTAAACTACATTCAAATTTCTAGCTTCATTTCCTGAAACAAAGTAAATAATGATTGTTCTGCTTCAAGAATTGGTTAAATTGACTGAAAAAGTGAACCTGTGACAAACAATGTGGAACAAAGGGTGTATATGGAAGTGGGAAGGCATGTACTGGCCTCTTTCTGCTCTCTTCTCCACCTTCCCTGTTCATAAAGTTGTTCATAAATTTCAGCTGGTTTAACTGTCCTCAAATTATAAAATCTCACCCCCCCCCCCCCCCCCCCCCCCCCCA